TGGCTTGTTTCTAATTTCAATCGTATAATGGAAATTTTTTTTTTACTATGTATAATAAATGTACCTGTGTAGCTTGCAAACGAATCGACTTTAATATTAAAACGTGGCAACATTATTTTTGCATCGTATCAAATCAACCTACTTCAAAAGCATTTCATAAATAATAGAAATTTTACTATTCACTTTAATCGACTTGAACAGCGATTGTAACTTATTCAAGTTTATTTAATTGCTATAGTGATTTCAATTTTTTTCGCTTTTTATTATTAACCTACCAATTAAAGTACTCCGTTTGTTCATTTATTCTTATGAATATATTGATTTGATAAAGAATATTTCAAATGAATTTACTTCAATAAAACCAAGGCTTTATTAGCTATTTCAATTTTTTTTCAGCTACGCACTCTTTGATTTATTTGGAAAATACTTAGGCAGGTCCTTTTTGTAGTAAATATACGCTCGAAAAGATGGACGAGTATACTTTTTGATAAAATTAATTTAAAAAAAAAACTAACGTAAAATTTATATACATTGAACGTGTGTAAGTACGAGGGAGTCCAAAAAATCTCTATTCATACAATTATATAATCTATCTAGACACTGTAATATCATTCGAACGAGCTTGCTGAAGCTTCCAGGATCTAAAAAAAATAGTGGCTTACTTTTATTTGCTAAATATTCAAGTCAAAAATCATCGAAATTTTAAAATCGCCATATCTCCCTGAATAAAGCAGACACGGCCAAAAGGACGGTATTTTAGGATCACTTAAAATTAACAAATTTATTTTTGAAAAAGCGGGACTTTGGCTATTCATACATTTATATAATTGATCTGGACACTGTAATATTATTCGTATGAGCTTGCTGAAGCTTTCAGGACCTAAAAAAATAGTGGCTTACTTTTCTTTGCTAAATATTCAAGTGAAAAATCATCGAAATTTCAAAATCGTGATATCTCTGCAAATAACGCAGATACGGCCAAAAGGACGGTATTTTGGGATCACTTCAAGTCACGAAAATTTATTTTTGAAAAAGTGGGTCTTGGGCTGTTCATACAATTATATGAGTAATCTAAATACTTTAATATCACGCGTACGAGCTTGTTGTACTTTCTGAGACCTAAAAAAAATTTTGGCTTGCTTTTATTTGCAAAATATTTAAGTCAGAAATTATCGAAATTTTAAAATCGCCATATCTCTGTAATTAACACAGATACGGCCAAAAGGACGGTATTTTGGAATTACTCAAAATTAAAAAATTTATTTTTGAAAAAGTGGGTCTTGGGCTGTTCATACAATTATATGAGTAATCTAAATACTTTAATATCACGCGTACGAGCTTGTTGTACCTTCTAAGACCTAAAAAAAATTGTGGCTTGCTTTTATTCGCAAAATATTCAAGTCAGAAATCATCGAAATTTCAAAATCGCCTTATCTCCGTAAATAACGCAGATACGGCCAAAAGGACGGTATTTTGGGATCACTTAAAATCACAAAAATTTATTTTTGAAAAAGCGGGACTTTGGCTACGAATCCAATTAAGATGACCGTGCCGAAAAAGTGTACAGGTTATTAGCTTCAAGTAAACACCACAGTCACGATTTGTTTTGAAAATCTGAAACANTAAAAAAAAAAAAAAAAAAACAACCACTTTTTTCTCAGCATTTTTCCACGCGTCGTTAAACTGGATTTTTTTTTTCTCTCTCTTACCTCCATCTCGCGCTGCTACGGCTTGCAAGAAAAACGCGAGCAAGATGATGCAGAGGCTAAAAAAAATTAATTGATGACAATTGAGGATCGTTAACTTTCGTTGTTCGATGACAAAGCCTGTCACGGCGTCATACGCGTAATTAGTTATGTTGTATTAATTAGTCAGGTTGGCGTTTATTAAAAAAAAAAAAAAAAAAAAAAAAAAAATCTATTGCCTCAAGTGATGTAAGCGCTCTCGAAGGAGACAAAACGATTATGAACCTGTGGCAAAGCAAAGCAGCACCGATAAGAGTAAAAAGTTGAATATTCGCTCGATGTATATGCTTATCGTCTTAAACTCGCGTATTCGTGTACAGCAGGTGTCAATGACTCGAGCGCGTACACATAACAGAAAGGAATATACGTTTCCTAATATAAGCTATATATAT